ATTAGTGAAAACAACTATAACCCAGATTTTAATTATTTCATAAATAATTACATCAATTATTTAAAATATCATTTATCTATGTGTAATATACATGTAATAAAAACTCTGTATATTTTGTATATTTTTTTAGTTTATACCATGAATATTTGATTTAATTTTCTTTTCCATTGAATATTATATTATAAGTTATAAATTTCAATTAACGATAACTGCGACATTATCTTTCTCAAAAATAAGTCCATTTATTTCCTTAATATAATTATAACAGTTTATACATAAAAACTTAAATAATTTAAGTAATTATACAAATTCTATTTAAATTTCTTCTGATCTTTTTACAGTTCAAATGTACCTTTCAGCCAATGGGATCGTAAATTGTTATTTGAATGGTTTTCTAACTTAAGACTTGAATATATTTTAAATCAATCAAAATCATGGCCTATATTAGGCAGTGATCTACTTTCAGCTTCATTCAAAGAGATTGATGAAAAAATTCATTTTAATGTAAGTAAACTATAACTATTCAATAGTTATCTAATATAATTGATAAATTATTTTTGTTCATATAGTTTAATAGCTTAATGCTCATATGTTTTAAGTCCAATTTTTAATATAGATACATAATTGCATATAAAAATAATTCTCTAAGGTTTTCTTAATAATTTTAATAATCAATAAAAAAAAATCTTTTCTTATTAACACAATTTTTTCACTGGTAAGTAATTGTGCCTTTATCATGTCAAATTTGATATATATATATATTTTTTTTAAATAACTTGACCTAAAATGTTTCTTTACATTATTTAATGTATTGTTAATTTAATTATAATTAATTTTTTATTTAAAATAGTATAAAACTTTTTAAACAGCACTGGCTACATCGTAAAAAATTGATTTTGGAAATACAATGTGAAAAAAATAGGGAAAATGTGTTTGTGAATGATAAATATTTGCTCAAAGCAAGATTTTTAAATACAGCTTGGGTACTTCACTGGTTGGATGACATTGGCTTACCCCAGTATAAAGAATCATTTTCTCAAGCAGCAGTTAATGGCACTGTGCTACATAGACTTACAAAAGATGATTTCTTGACTATGCAAAATGTTAACTCTGAATTACATTTATCAAGCCTCCGTTGTGGAATTAAAGTAAATTTTATTTTTTAAATTCATTTTGATTAATTAAAGGTTTTAATTATTGAAATTACCAAATAATTTGATTTTAGGTGTTAAGAGAAAACCAGTTTGATCCTGAATGTTTAACTAGACGTTCCAATTCAAACAATAGTGAAGACAATCATAACTTATCTTTGTGGACTACACACAGAGTAATGGAATGGCTTTGCTTTGTAAATTTAGCTGAATATGCCTCTAATTTAAGAGGTTCAGGTACATACATTTTTTAATAATAACTTTACTTTAATTGTTACTTTAATATTAATGATTACTTTAAATATGTTTTTATATCATTTTATTACATATATACTTATTAATTTTTCAGTTTTCTACTGAATTTCACTTAAGTCTTTTGGTATTTTTAGGTGTTCATGGAGGGTTAATTGTTTATGATGACAGGTTTACTTCTGATTTGCTTGCTGACATTTTATTTATTCAACAAAATAAAACTTTATTAAGACGACATTTAAGCATACAATTTAATGAACTTATAGGAACAGATTTAAATAAAAAAAAGAGAGATGTCCAGAGTCAAGCAAAGTTCAAACCTTTAACAATGTCTTCCAGAGTTAAAGTAATTTTTTTATAAAACTAAGATAGTAAAAGATTCACTTAGATTATAATTTTTTAATTTCACTTTAGGGTCAAAAGAAATCACAATTTTCATTAAAACGAAAGAAAAATTATAATGAAATGATTATTGGTGACTTAATTTGTCCCCTTGAAAATGAACCAAAGTTATAAATAATGAATAGTGCAATTGTAACTAGAAATACAATAGTATAATAAGCACTTCAAACTTACACCAAAGTAAAATAATTTTTAATCTGAAGTACAAAATTGATTAACTAATCAAAACATAAAAATTATTTAATAATTAGTACAAAGATTTAGAATAAATTCAAATCATTATGTAGATTTTGTCTTGGTTTGTAAATTTTTACTGGTACCTAAATTGTACCACAACATTCAATTCATTATTAATGACAATAAAATAATTTAAAAGGGTATTAATACATGTTATAAGCTAAAAGCCATTTTACTACTTTGAATTATTATTTCTACTTAATTTAATTTTTAAGTGATTGTTGTTAACACATGTTTTAAGTATTATAAATTGTAACATTTTTTTAATTTTAATATTCTTATTAATTTAAATATATATTCGTTTGTGTATTAAAATAACAATAACTTTATTGTTGAAAAAAAATGATATTTTTATTAAAACCCTATTAATTCATATATCTCTATTTTCTGTTGTTTGTAAATTTAGGTGTTCTAATTTGTTCAAATTATTTATAATTTATAGCTAATTAATGTGGATAAGTATAAATAAATGACATATCGAATTGAATTTGTCTAAAAAGAAAAATTGACACTATATATAAAATAATGATTTTCGTGTAGACCTGGAATTTTTTAGTCTGAGGTATAGTCGCTAGCGTCCACATTTTGATTCCAATTCTCATTGAATCTAGACTCCATTCTAGTAGTATTTTTTAACTTTAGTTGATTTGGATACCACGACATTGGTGTCATTCTATTTTGAAGTGTCAATACTGGAAGTGCATCTTCAATCTGTTTTACAGTTGAAAAAAAATTTCATTAAACATTTTAGGACAATTATTTATGATATATAATTGATTATCTTTTTAGAAAGGCATTATTAGGATAGTTTCAAATCTAAAACTAATGGAAGTGAATAACAATTACCCAATAAAAATTGATCATTTGTGTTTAATATTATTTAAAAATAAAGTATATTAAAAACATTAATTTAAAACTAAAATATATTTAATTTCAAAAACCAAAAATAAACTAAAAAAATCAGGGATATATATTTTAAGAACAATGCTACTATTATCAAACGTAAACACGTACAGACTATCCATCTGAATATTAAAAAAATTAACAATCCAAAAAATTACAGTTGTATGAAACAGTTGATATTGATATTTTTAGTTTATAATTTAGAATGAAATAACTTTTTGAAAACTAGAAATTATTGATACTTGATTTATTAATAAACTTTAAACAGTTACCTTTGTAGAGTCATACCTCTTTGAAAATTCAATCATTAACTAAGGTGCTGCACTGTGTTTCAATTTATGAAAAATCTGACAAAATATTATTTTTTATTTATTATTTTAATTTAAAAAAAAATTATTTTTTGTAACTTATTAATGCAGATAATCATTATAACTATTAAATTACTTATTTATTCTGAGGCGTGTATAAATACCAATTTAGACTTTTGAGATTTTAAAAATAACAAATTTTGAACTCCTCCATCTCTTAGAAAAGAAATATATAATATTAAACTAGTATCAGATTTGAATTTAGTGACTTTAAAACATAAAAGATTTTTTTTTTATTGCTAAAGACTATATTTCAGTTTGTATTAATTTTTACTAGGTTTTTGATTTTGAAACACTAGTATTTCAAAATAAATTAAACATCCACAGTATACACAGTAGTTAATGGAGAGAATTCAAAAATTATTCCCAATTTTATGTTCTTTTTTGTAATTGCAATATAATTGTGTATTGCTAAGAATTTCAATAAGAACAAATTAACAAGTATTATAACTCTAATTTGTTATTGTAACATAGTTTTAATTATTATTTGATACTATAAGATAATCAAACCTGTTTTGTCATATCAGGTAAACTTTTAAGAACTGATTCTAGAACTTTCAAGTCATATAGTAACGGCAAGGATTTTTCAAACTTCATCTGGTCATTATCCATCATTTGAAATTCGGCACGATGCCAAAATAAAACCACGTTTATTATTAGTACAAGCCAAATGCGTTCTGTTTCCATATCTATACATTTTAATTGTACAACCATATATTAGATGCAGATGTACCTTTTTTTCTTAAATATTTTTAAGCGAAGTATTTTTATTGAGACTTCTTAAAAAATAATAAACAATATTTTATTTAGAAGAGTATAGTACAATACAATATGTAAAATATTTACCGATTAAAAAAAAAATGCTCAGTAAATATTCAATATTGGTGATTATTAAGTAAAAATAAAACTTAGAGTCTGAATATATTCAGAGTACATGAGAATATATTCATTATCATACTTGGAACAGTGACACAACTACGTGGGTACTGAAGAGTGGTGCAACAACTTAAAGCTCTAAATTAACATTTTCAAAAATATTATTCTATTTGGGTTTCTGATTTACACTCTGCAGACTCAGATTAATAAATGTATAAGCCAACTATGCAGTTCAGCCTACTTCTATAAAGAAGTGATGAACAAAATAAAAAAAGGTTATATTTAAATGTACTAAATCATACATTTTAATTATAACGCTTTTAAATTTTGCACTTTTCCCGGAATTTTTATCGTGTAAAAATAAAACAATTGATATTTTTGAATTCCACATAAAATTGGTCTTAATGTTTTACAATTCATAATTATTATAATGAGATTAAGCCAAAAGTAGTTATAATAGAAAGTTTTTTTTTTCTGAAAAATGTCCATCAAACTCAAACTTAAAGGTTTACAAAAACTATTAAACTTGACGGATGGGTTCCTAATTTTGCACAATTTTTTTAAAATCAAATTATATTAGAAAATTAAAAAAATATATTTCTTAGTTATTTATAATGATTTAATTGTTTAATAAATAATTAATTACTAATTGCTAATTATGTTAAAAACTAGAATCGATGGAATAAATTTTAAGCCAAATTTGGAATCAGTGTCGAAATTCCGTATAAAATTCACCTATATATTGTAGATTAGAGAAAATTTTCTATTACTGTTGGTCTGTATAATTACTTTTGCATAAAAATATGACTTCATTATTACCCTAATTTTTAACAATAAATTAATTTAAAAAATTTAATTTATGAATTTTTTAAATAAAAACTGTTCAAACTTACTCACTGTTTCTGCAAATACATAAAATAAGTATCCAAAAATTTTTATTGAAACTCTATCTAAATTTGTTGTGTTTTTTCATTGATTAATACAATAAACAGGCACAGAAAGGTGTATATATTGGATTAAACCAATTAAAAAGGTAATACAAAAGGCTATTAATTTCTAAAAAAGTTGAAAGAGTATTTTAATTTTAATGAGTTTTATTTAATAGCATGTTTTATTTCAAAACATGCTATTAAAATTATATTTATACTATAAATAAAATTATATTTTATTTCAAATTCATTTTAATACTCTTAAGCGTATAGTTTTTAATAGATTCCATTAAATTATATTAAGGTTCTTACCTATTTAGAAAGTATTATTATTATGTTTGTTCATATTTATCTCAGTAGTCATCGATCCATAAAACATTATACATAATTTTGTTAATGAGTAAATCCAATATTAATGAAGATGGAAATTATTTTTACATAGTTTATTTTTATTTTCCCTCCTTTAAAATAACTTAAATTAAAAAAATCCTTAAATATTATTATTTAAGTGAACATTAGATCTGAATTTTTATCAGTTCTAGATTGTGGAATTATTAAATACTGGAAGACATAAAAAAAATATTACACGCCATTTGTAGTTTATAACACAACCGTATCAGTAATTTATGCAAATTTATTGTTATAAGAAATTCGTAATAGTCTTGTAAAATTTGCCTAATGGTTAGTAAAATTTTAATCACCTTTAAAATAAATCAGTCGATAAGAAGTATTTAAACATAGAAATTACTAAATAGTAGTTAATAAAGATTAGTCTAATTCAAATATAAGTAGTTTTGTAAGTGAGATTTCATATAACTTTAAAATAAAATATTAAGAAAAAATCTTAACAGACATCTCAGTATTCTTTTGAAAAATTCTCACAATTAATCTAATAAACAAGTGAGTGGAATTAATTATTACGTTACTTTATAGTAAATAGTTTAGACAATATTTATATAATTGTACATATTAAACACACTTTTGCAATGAAATATATTATAAAATTGTTTCAAATTATATCTAAGAATTAATGATTTATACAAATCATTGACGCTCATTTTATTTGGAAATGTTTTAATAAATCGTCGAGTATATTTTTAATTGATATTATAGTAGGCAAAAACATCCCTCTAGATATAAATATGTTCATTATAAGTAGGCAAACCAGAAAATTTTTTTTAGAAAAATTAACTACCATTTAACTAACTATTTTCAATCTTATATAAGATAAAGAAACATTTGAGATAACTACAAATTTTTAAAATAAGTTGAAAATATTAATAATGTTTACAAAAATATTGCTTAGAAACAATAGGAAAAAAAATGTTCAAAAAAACTATTTGATTTCGCTTTTATTCAACAAATTGTCTTATAATTAGTAGAAATAAAGGAAAAATTAAAATAAATTTTTGAACACGAGTTCAAAAATGGTATGACAATTTTCATACTCATTTCTGGAATAAAAAATATCATAGAATTAATATGAACAAATATTCTTATTATCCACAATATTGTTGGTGCAGATGGGGTTAATGATGATGGGTGCATGGGGTTAAAACAATACATTATGATCACTGTTATGAATGAATGATATTTATATTTTGATTTTTCGATTAAGGAAAAATATTAGAACTAGAAATATTAGTTAATTATGGAAATTTTTACAAAAAGAAATATAAAAATTAATCGTTTCTATTTCAAAACGAATTCTACTATCACTTTCGATTATAGCACTCCTTGTGATTATAAAATATGAATAATCTGTTCTTAACTTTCTGAACCCTCGGTAAATTTTTGGTTCAACTCAGCCACAGTTGAAATAACTAATTTCTAGCGGATAATTTTGGTGTAAACTATACTTTTTAATGATAAAAAATTGTTTTAATAAAAAACTTCATTTATGCTTTTTTTTTTCTTTAGCTAATACACCGTGATATTCTTAAGAATATATTTAAATTAAGTTATAATTTATTTTACAACAACAGAAATGTTTGCTAAAAACATTTATTTTATGTTACTCGTGAGTATGACTATCGTCTTTGCTGTCAAAATGAACGATAAAGCAGTCACATGTTTAGAAACGACAATACCAATCGATCAATTAAGTAGTAGAAATACAACAAGTTCCCAGTTAACCACTGAGATCGATATTAAAGAAAACGTTACAAAAAATGGCAATATGGTATCAGAAAGAGAGGACGTCACGGATGATTCCTATGACATGAATTCGCTATCTCAAGAAGAATATGAAGATTTTTACGATTTGGTCGAAGAATGATTATCATATTCGAAAATTTATAACGTTTTTATATTTATAAAATGTATTTTATTGAACCTGTATCTCTAAATATATTATTCAAATAATTTACCTACACTTATACTTTTCATATTATTGAGCTGAATACAAAATGTGTTGGAAATTTTAGTTTTTGTCCGACATAGCGTTGACTCTATCGTATAAGTTAAAGGAAAAGAAATATATAAGCAGATAATATTTTGTATTTTTCGTTTTTTAATCCATTTTTTATAAATATAATTTCCTTTTTTGGATTGGCCTAATAGGAATAATTAGCTCGATGAAAATAATTTGCATTCATGTAGGTTTACGTAATCTGGGAAAATTATAGAATAATACATTTGCAAGAAGTACAAAGATTTCTACAACAACTGCAAATGAATAGCCGACCACAAAAGTAGCAACTTTGAGAGAATTACATCTCTCAACAACACCAACAATTATTGAAACATTGACATTGCCTTAATTATAGAAACATCGACATCGCCCATGTCTTTGTTTATAACAATAATCACAACAGAGTTACAACATTGAAGTCTCCCATACCTTTGTTTACTTCTCAGCTACCAATAAATCAATAAAAATAAAAAATGTGGTCTTGGTGATATATAGAACGTTTTTTTTTTAGTTATTTTAATATATGATATATACCGCACTGTAATATTATTTTGTTGTTGTAACTATATTATATAACAGAATCATTATAAGATTCAAAATAAAATCAATTTTATTGAAATCAGTTAAAATATACTCTTTGCGAGAGTCCGGGTTACTCTTACAAAGAGAATAATTTTCAGTTTTTATTTTTATTTACTTAAACTTATTATAGGCGTATAAAAAATTGGCTCCAAGAGTAAAATTTTAGCTATTAAACGGATGACCGGATGCCTAAATTGGCACACCATATCTTTTATTAGTCCATAAAGGATACTATAATATACATATATGGAACTGAGGCAAGTCATAAATCCTACGTCATGCAATAATATTTTAAGTAATCCAACGTTTTATGTATTAAATGCACTGCGTGTATATTTCATTTTTAGCGTTTTATAGTCAATATAATTATTTATTATCAGTATAATAAATGATTTAATTTTAAATAATACCATTTAGTTACATAAAATCTACGACAGATTTTCATATGTAAAAGATTCTAAACAATCTATATTTTGTATTAGATATATGATATTATTTACTAAACAAATAAATTTAAATTAAAAAAAAAATAATAATAAATTTATAAAAAAAAAACGGTAGCACAGTGGGGTTGCGACACAGTGTGAGCATGGCATACTTGAGACTAGTGTAGATGATATCAGACAGTGATTAAAATCGCTATCATAAGAAACGCTTGGAAGCAAATCTGTAGATAGTGTTTAATTTAAGAAATTGGTAGATTATTGAAAAGCAAAATTTTAACTCAAAATGAATTACGGAAAAATTTCAAAAAATCGTTGCCACGGGCAATGATTTTTACTGAATCGGCAAACGTTCGTCGTATTCGTTTTTTATAAAATTGGCAATTTAAGCTGATTCAAATTTCAAATGTTAAAATTAATTTTTTCGACTTTAAAGAAAAAATAAATTGAAATAAGTTTAACATTATATTTTATGTCAATTAGTTTTATGTAATATTCATGAAAATCAGTGTACCCCTTATAAAGTACTTTAAAATAAATTAAAATACAATACCAAGAGTTTTAACACAAAAATAGCATGTTTTTAACTACGGTAACCATTTGCATATAGAAGATATGTCGTCAAAACAATTTTTTTTTTGAACTTATAGCAAATAATATAAGCTTTAATTTGACATATGTTTGAAGCTTGGAGTATTTCCGAAACATTTTCATAACTTGAGTTGAAAAAGTTAAATTTTTGTGCAGAAATTGCTATTTTGTATCCTCCCTGTGGGCAAGTAAAGTATCAAATTTTCAAAAAATGTATATCGAATGAAAGGGACATATCTTAAGTTTTAATATAAAAAATAATTATTTTGATTTGTTCATTTTTCAATAGGTTATGGCAATTTTCAGAATAAAATGTCGATATTTACCGATTCTAAAAATGGTAATTTTTTGGGAGATTTTGACTATTTATGGAAAACAAGGGCGAAATTTTCAATTTTTGAGGGTAATGTCTTCAATTAAATACGATTTATGATCTTTTGTCGTATCGTTGAGAAATATTCGTCTATTGAAAGCTGAGAAAAAGTAATGACAGACAAAAAAAAACACATCATGGTAAAATTAATACCTTCTCAGCTTCGCATCGAAGCTAAAATTCATCAAAACAAAATTCGTTCTAAAATTTCTATTTATTGTTTAAATTAAAAAATATATTCCAAGTTTTTGTGATCTCGTATAGTTATTACAAGTGACATACGTATACAAATGATAACATCATACCTTATGTTAATATTATAATATTACAATATTAATGGTCATACATCCGAGAAACAATAGTAAACTACGCATTTGAAGATCAACTTTAGATCGGCGACGGAATGGTTTTACTTGAACTTTATACAAATGTATATTTTATATACTTAAACAAATTTGACACGATATAAACTGATATTGATATTTAATGACCTATATACAGGGTGGCCCACCACTCACTGACAACTTAAATAACTTTTGATCCAGTAAATATTTTTAGTTGATTTTTTTTTTAAATAATAGTTATACGTTAGGTGTATAGCTATATCTCAATAATTAATTTTTTTACATTTTATTAAAAATATTAATTATTTTTAAATTTTAAATAAAATGTAAAAAAAAAATCTAAGATAGCTATTTTGTAGAGTAGAATTTAAGAAAAATTTTAGTAAAAAAATATCTTATTAATATTCAGTAGTAAATATTCTGTAGCGTTTTGAAGTTTGTGAAAATTAAAGTTTTCATGTATTATTTTGCGGTATTAAACATTGAAATACGTATTGAGAAAAGGACCGAAGAAAACGCTATCTTTTCATGATTACTGTGTATACATAAGATGATAATGTGTATACATTACAAACTTGGCATTAATACCATGATAAGAAATTAGATAAGGCAATTATTACTTATCACTCTCATTCAAAAGTATATTGAAAAGATAGCGTTTTCTTCTGTCCTTTTCTCAATACGTATTTCAATGTTTAATACCGTAAAATAGTACATGAAAATTCAAATTTTCACAAACTTCAAAACGCTACAGAATATTTACTACTGAATATTAATAAGATATTTTTTTACTAAAATTTTTCTTAAATTCTACTCTACAAAATAGCTATCTTAGATTTTTTTTTTACATTTTATTTAAAATTTAAAAATAATTAATATTTTTAATAAAATGTAAAAAAATTAATTATTGAGATATAGCTATACACCTAACGTCTAACTAATATTTAAAAAAAAAATCAACTAAAAATATTAACTGGATCAAAAGTTATTTAAGTTGTCAGTGAGTGGTGGGCCACCCTGTATAGAGGTGGTTAAAATTATAACTCTCCCCTATGACAATGATAACTAAAATTTGGTTATTTAGCACATAATTAATGACTGATAAATTCGTTTTTGAAATTTATAGATATAAAATTCGAACGATTAGAAATATTAAACGATAAGAAAATTAGCTAATATTTAATTGCTGATAAAAGTAATAATCCCCAGTCTTATTTAAAAGTGTTAAAATCTCCGATTGGTATGATGAGCATGGGTCCAGATGAAAATTAGTTTATCGAGAATATGTATTATGACGGGAGCAGTAAACAAATTTCTTATATATACCCCTAAATATAACCTGTTAAAGCCATTGAACTCTTAATATTATTAAGTACATCAGAGTTCAAGAACTCCATCTTAATTCTAATTAAATAATAATCTAAAAATAAGTGCCAACTTAAGGACTTTCAGCGCCTTTTATTTTTCTATAGTCAACATAATGTTGGACGCCCTGGAACTACCGTGAGGTATTGCTTCAGAGCAACCAACGTCGCGATAAAACTCACACCGCCGTGTTGTGACTCTGCCCGAAATTAATCAAGAGCTGAGTCACAACACGATGTGGCCTCCCCCGTTAATCGGATCCCAAAGTGGGATCTGTTGTCCAGGTTGCACCACTTGGAGGTGGGGGTAGAACTTTGCTGTGTGTTGGCATATAATTCACAAGAAAAATACAAAGAAAACTCGAAAAGGACAGGAGATACTCTAAGTAGGCTTCTCCGGCCCTCCCGTCTTTCTAACGCAGTCTTTAGCCTGGTGGCCCACTGCTTCGCATATGAAACACGCGCCGGTCCGGTTGGGTGCAGGCCGCCTAAAGGTGGACTTTTTTGAGACACCTGTAGCAGTAGGGTATAGAAAGAGTGCCACCTGTACTCACCGGATTGCGTTTGACCGCACCCGACCTTTCATTACCCGCAACCTCCTGGGGCTCCGTCTGTGTCGACGAATCGATGGTCAGGAGATCCTCCTCCGGTGTGCGGGATTGCTCCAGGTCGTGCAAAAAACGAACGCTCCGTATGAGTGCCCTGACAGCCGATGTCACGTGTTGTGCGGCGGGACGACTAGCATGGTATTCTCCAGCCTCTGCGCTTGCTTTCCCCCCAGAACCAGTCCGACCGTAAATACGAAATTGGAACTTGCTCAGTTCAGCATCAACCGCGGCGTACTGTCTTTGTGAAAGAAGTTGGCAGCTGCGATTTTGCCGCACTTCCTACTCTTCATCTCTGAAGCCCTTCCAAGTGTATCCATTTCCGGGATTGGTGCATCTGAAGGAGTGTCCTCCAAGATGACCGTCCCGGCTCCGTCCGCTATTGGGGACACTTCTTTACTCTTTATCCTTAGAATTTCATCTTCACAGATGTCGGCAACGCTGACCAGCTCAGGTGGATTAGGTCCTTCCCCAGGAGTGTTTCCCGACTTGCCGTCGTTCTTGGCTAGCCACAAGTTATAGTCGTGGTGTGGCCCCCTCCCATTAGCCGGATCCCAGAGTGAGAACCTTTAGGGAGGGTTGGCAAAATAACTCACAAAACAAAAATAAGAACCTAAGGTACCGGCCTAAACCAGCGCCTTAGGTCCTCCTGTGTTGAGCGGCGTAGCTGCCTCTACCTCAGGCGTTCTGCTTCCTCCTTCTTTTTCAAGACGGATTCAGCGAATGCCTGGATGAGCATTCAGCAATCCTCCTGCATTAACCTCAGAATGGAGTAAACAGAGCCACGGAAGTCCACGGGCGACCAGAAACCCCCGTGCGGCAAGCACCCCAAACTTTCGGCCTATCGCTCAAACTCGGAGTGGGACATAAGGATCTCGTTGCAAAAAGGAGCACTGATACCCATCCACTCCTAAACCTAAAGGTTGATGTCTGTTGACACCTAGCAGTAACCTCAGTGGCCTTAAGGCCACCGGAGGATGTCTGCTCCACACATCCATCAGCAGTAGCTTGGGGGTCTTTCAGCGCCTTGTACAAGAACTATTTTAGTACTTCAAAAAAAAAAATGACTTTTTCTAAGTAACCAGAAAATAATCTAGTAAAATCATTTTAAATTTATAAAAATATCATGGAATACCACAATTTTTTTTCTAAGTTGACTATTTCTCTATTTTATTGTCATATTTTAAAAATACGAGTTTTAAATAAAACATTGTTAAAACTTTTGGTATTCCTTAACAAGATATTTGTTTTCAATTTCTGATGAAATTAAATTAAAGGATAAATAACATAAATTAATAATTAAAGGATAATAATCACAAACAAATAACTTCATTTGGTCATGCATTTTTTATTTACAATAGAAAATCGATAAACGTCCAACAAATAATTTAAATTTTATAACATAAAAATATCCACCTATAAGCTCATAGACTTTTAAGGTACTTGTTACAAATAATTATAATGAAAGCTCTTAAACAATATAATAAATTAAAATATTAAAAATATAGATAATATATGTATTAACAAAATAGTATTAATAATGATAAATATAAATGAGCCAAAGTTTGAGAATGGTGAAATATGAATTACAATAAGTACAAATTTAATTTATTAAACAACCTTAGTAAGTGATATCAATGCTCTGCCTTATTGGTACGTCTGAATATTTGATGGAAATATTAATTGTTATCATGGCAGACGACATTTTTGCCCATTGGTGAAAGGGCTTAGTTTTCTATCACAGCTTTTTCCATCAAAGGCCTGTTTGGTTAGTTAAAAAAATAATACGAGTTTTCCAAAAAATTATATATTTAATCAATGTAATATATTTATTTTATATTATCATTTTATCAACATCAAGTTATCAACACGTCAATTTCCGTGATGTTGTCTGAAGCAGTAATAGGCCTACCCTTCCTATCTTGTTTCTTGAGAAAAGCGCTCAACCGATTCAACAAAAATTGTTTATCGTGTCCTTCTAGCACCAATTGTTTGCGAAGAACGACAATCATTTTTTTGTTTGCGTCGGTGATGCAACGGTGATAATAGACGACACCCAGAAGAGTTATAAGGATAGGCACCATTACGTTCGTCGATGTTATGACATCGACCGCTTCATAAACCTCTGGTGGCACGGCGTCTGTCAGCTCAGCGATAGCTGCCCACACGGACGGCAATCCTTTGAATGGACCGCACGATCTGGACGGCGTTATCTGTGTGGTGATTGTGGCCCAAATAGCTGCACAGGCCGAAAACGACACCAACAGCACCGACATGACGGCCGTGTGGGTGCGAGACGGTCCGTACACCTTGTGCGCCAGGCTGTGATTGACCACACAACTGAACCGCTTGATGTAGAACATTATGACCAAAGAGACCAGGCCCAAAGCTGGCAACATCGGTGCGTAGAACGTGCCTAGCCAGACAATGATTTGCACGTAAACGACATCCAAAACGTGTTTGGCAAGGGTGAGCTCTTGCTTGCAGACGGCCTGGAACAAGTTGTTCTTAAAATGCCGGACCAAAATCGACCGGGGACAGCTGATTATTACGGTGATACCGATTTTGACGGCCACGTCCACAATCAGTAATCGGTACATGAGCGTTCCGAAGTACGTTTCCCAGCACAGAGGCGAATTGCACAGAGCGCTAGCGCATTGCGACTTCTCTCGTACACAGTTTATCAGTCTGTACACTGAACCCAGTAATACGGCTAATAGGGAAACTTTCACCGCGAGAATACGTAACATAGACGACCGAGTGTCCTGATCGTCTACCGTTGGCCTGTTCTCTAACCTCGCCAACACGTCAAATATGACAGGCAATACCACGTTGTAAAGCGTTATGGTCACGGGTGTAGCGAATTCCAACAACAGGGTCCAGAGTAGCGTGTGCGGCTGTTCGCGTCTCTGCAACGACTTGACGGTGTAGTTAAAAATAAGGTAAACGGAATAGCAAGCAGCGGCGATCAAGCCGACAGCTACCGACCACGTAAACGTGCTGACAACTGCACCTGTTATTCGTCGCTTTGCTACTTCATCGTCTTCATCGAGAGCCTGTCGATTGCGACGGCGACGGTAACGAATAGCCGACGACGAAGACGCCAAATAAGAACGTAGTTCGTTAGCGATGGCTTTGCGCTTGAATTCGGCCGATATCTGATTATTTATGCAAAAGTCCCAACCAGAAAACACTGCGTTAGCGTACAGATAGTATCGGCACTGGGTCTCAACCATGCGCTGCCTTAAGCCACCGATAGATTTTCGTAGAAGTAGGACTAACGTAATGAACAGGTGGAATATTGTGCAGCACACGTACGCCATTGGCGCTCGATACGTGAACAGCCTGTCGGCCGGTGGAGGCGGTACGTCAAACCGCTGTCTAGCCGAATAGTAGCCGTAGTATGCGGCCGTACTCTCTACCCATCCGGCACCTCGCACTACGTCCAGAACGTATTGAGCGGTCAACCTCGCACTGCCCTTGCCGGCAGCGACAGCCGCTGTTCTTGTGGCGTTCTCATAAATAGCGCTGCAACACTCGATGGACGCACTTCCATTGCTCGACCCGCACTCGTCCCACGGATCGACCGTTCGATTGCTAATAGGCCGTGTCCGCCACTCGGACCAATATACGGACGGCACCACTACAGCAGCCAACACGACCGCCGCGGTAATGGCGTTTATGAAAATCAAAAGTTTAATGAACACGAACAATTGAACTACTCCTGTGCCACAATGACCTTCAATCTTGTGCAGACTCGAGCTCCACATATTGAACATCCCACAGTACTTGTTCCACTTGGTCTTCATCCACAGGCACATCTTACGCTTTTGCCACCTCAACCGTTGAAATCCTTGCAACCTGAACGCATCGGCGCTCTGTAACAGACATCATGTTATATGGAAATTTCTATAAAAATATGTTGTATTTTGTATAAAAATTTGTAGTCAATTTTCACAAGTTTATTAGATTAAATACGAATGAAATAATTAAATAATTTAACGAAGAAAGGCACTTAACGGTTTCGTAATTCGATATATTCCTAATAAATGTATTATAGTAAAGAGTAAAATCATACTATTTGCTAATATCATATTACTACTCCGAATTTCTGGTTTCATTAAATTAAATGAAATCGATAAGATAATTACACTGTAATGAATAATCAACACTACCTTGTTGTAATATATCAGTCGTTTTTTTTATTTTAATAGTATTGTTATGCGAAAATGATCATAAAAATAAAAAAACCCAGCACAGTGGGAACGTGGCATAGTTGGGTCAAATATAATGATATCTGAAAGTGATTGAAATCACTATCTTAAAAAACGCTTCGATGCAAATCTTTAGATAGCGTTTAATTTAAAAAAAATGTTGGATTATTCCAAAAGCTACATGATCTGCTATTTTCTTATTTATATAAGATAAAGTATGTCGAATGAAAGAGGGATATAAATATTATTTCTCATAAAACAATTGTATTGATCCATACGCTTTTCAATAAGTTATAGCATTATAAAGTTAAAAATGTAAAATATAAAATCGAGAATTTTCACACAAAAATAGCATTTGGTAGTCATTTTCACTATGAAAACAAAATAAAGTCCTAAATTTTTTTTTTCCATAATAAATTACATTTAATTATCTTTAATTTAAGATATTTATAAAAATGTCAGTATTTCCGGAACACTTTCAAGTTATATTTTTATGAAAAAGTTGTCATTTTGAACCCCCCTGTAGGCAGGCAAAGGTTCAAATTTATAAAAATAATATACCAAATGATAGGTAAAGACATCATGCATCTACAAAAAAAAAAGATTATATTGATTTGGTAATTTTTGAAAAATTTATGGCAGTTTTAAGTAATAAAAATTGAAAATTAGCGACTTTTTGTAGGTTTCCCCCATTTACGGGAAACGAGGGAAATTTTTTCAATTTTCAAAGGTAATGTCTTCGACTAGATACGATTTGTGATCTTTTGACGTATCGTTGAAAGAAATCCGTTCAGCGAGAGCTGAGAAAAAGTGGTAACAGACACATACAAAAAAAAAAACACATCATTGTAAAATCAATACCTTTTCAGCTTCGCATCGAAGCTAAAAAAAATTAGTCGAAAGCAAAACATTCTCCCTATTAACACGTATTTATTTCATTAAGTCAATCCGTATCTTGTAAAGTACTTGTTAAATCATTTTCTACTAATGATGCGTTACTTTTCTCATAATTTCATTTAATAAAATACTAATATTTTCGATCATGAGCTAAATATATACATTATTATTATTTTAATTCATAAAAAAAGTTGTGATAGTTTGAATAAATCATTTATGTTTGTAAAAATAGATTTTGGTTGATTTCATAAAACATATTTATTATTGTTTTTATTAAAAAATTTTTTAATAAAATAAGAAATTCTATAACTAGTTAACTTTATCAAGGATGTGCATACTTTTAATTTTGCCTTGAGTTCTTTTTTGTGCGCCATACTGATCGGTAATGTTTTGATCTTCATGATTTCTTCCCATATCAATTCTTCATTTGACAAGTTCTCTGTAAATTTCAAATGGACACGTGGTCATGTTATTTCTTATAACGAATAGAAGTGAAACTGTTACCGGACAAATCGGGCATCAGAGATATTTGAATATCATTGTTGACTCCAACGGTGTTGGGGTAAAGAGTACCGCCAAATTCAGGGGGAGGTTTCAACGGTGACATCGCTTGATAACAGTTCGGGTCGTTGTTGATTTTTTTTCTGGCTAAAAATTAAATGGCAAATAATTAAAATGAAACTTTGTAATTTTTCAAAATATATAGTCACAGCGAAGAATGAATTTTCTTTTTGAAGAAATTCATAGTTAACTTAATTTAAGTTGTTCTTTTTTTGCCATTGAAAAAATTAAATAATTATTAAACTGCAAGGTTTACCGGTTCTGGTTTTGTTGCTAGGCAGAAGCGTAGAGAGCTTGTTGGGGTACTTTTGGAAAGTCTCCAGGTCCACTTCCATACCAGGGTAACTCTCTTGATAAAACTCTGAACCAGCTTCTTCCCACACTTCCACACATTGTGTTTTTTTCTTTCCACCCGACATGATTGCAAAAATCTCCTAAAGCTATCGGTCTCTGTAAATACAAAAATATTCAACATTTAAGTCATTTTACGAGTATTAATTTTAATTAAATCGAGATAATTAAGACAATTGAAAAAAAAAAAATACATATTACTCGTGATGGGTAAAAAACGTAAAATGTTTAAAGGTTTTAACCTTGTAGCAAAAATATACAGTGTAGTTGATTAAGAATACTATCTATCTTCAATTTGTAAATAATCATTTTTTCATAGATGCTTACTGAATAATATTTTATGAACTACTTCGCTCAAAATCTTTAAATGCAAATATCTCAGACAGTAATATACCAGAGATATATATCTTTTTCCAAAAACAAAAATATGTATAAAGCTACATACATTTATTTTTAACTTTGCTAATTGTTTTTGAAGAAATTTAAGGTAAGAAATTAGAATATAAAAGAATGATCGTAAAATCAAGTTAAGGATAAATAAGAAATCCACAATATGACTCAATATCATAAATAGTTTAAGGAAGACTAGTTAATGTTAAAACTTTTAATTTGTAGCTCCTGCTAAAGATTCAGTGACAACTATATTCTTAAATTAACAGGAATTTTTTCTACCAATTAATTAACAAACATCAATTGATTTATGTATCTAATTTTGTATTATATTTGATACAACTGTACTCAAATGACGAACATCCACACAACTAAAAACATATAAATACAAATTAACATAACTAGGAAATTAATTTAGCCACTTTTCCCATTACACGGGATTACAGGACATGTGAAACAATGTCTTAATAATGCTTTGATAATCATATAAACTTTTAATTAGAAATTAAATTCTTTATAGTTTAATAAAAACAAATCATATGAAATATTATACATGAACAAAAATGTATAAAGCATACCAAATTAATTTCTCTTATTTTTATTTGTAATACTTATAAATTCACATTGTCTTCGGAGACAATAATTATTGTAAAATATTTGATTTGATATTTGTAGTTTTAGTTGACCGTATTCGATTTAATGACAGTTAACTTGTTGCATGAATTAAAATATGTTAAATGCAATAAAAAATACAATTCTCAACATGATTCCAGATATTACCTATATAACATGATTTTCAGAACATGAACCTATATAACATGAGGACTAACATATATTAGTCATTTAACCCTTTGAATAGTTACCGAAAAACGAATCATTTTATTACATAGTGTGAACTACTTGATTATTTATCTATTGTACCGATAGCAGGGAAATTTTGAACCACTTACACATTTCAACTAATACACGACAATAATGATTAAAATCTAATCACATTTCACTCACTTTTTTCAACAAGTATAAAAATTTTAATTCATTTTTCATTTATATATATGGAAAGTATTTATCGAGTACAATGTAAGGGAAAATATTAATAAAAAAGGACATATTTGTGTACAAATTTTTGATACTTTATATCAAAATTACATTATTCATGTATAAAATTAACGCGTGTATAAAAAATGTTTTACTGTCGTATTTTTAGATCATTTCTTACAATGTTGCCTTATTTTGACCATAATATTGTATAGATTATTCATTAATGAGGGATTTGAACACATAACGCCTCATACAATTTTTATTGGATAATTTTATTACATGTTAAATTTTTTAATAGAGGAGTTAAAAAACCATCCAAACTTACTTTACCTATGCCCTGTATCTTTTAGTTTAAATTTTATGACTGTTATTTTGATTAATTTTTTATTATGACTTTAATTTTTCATATAAATTTATATATTTTTGCTTAAATTTTATTTATTTGAATACGAAATTTATTATTTTTATACTGTAGCGTTTATATTTAATAAGCAATACATTATTTACTATATTCAAAAGCAGTTAACACAAACGATTCAAAAAGTTTACATTCTTTCTATGTGTAGACATTAGCACTACGTCTGTATTAAAGTGTCAAGACTTTAAAACTCTTTCAAGGATCGTTTTTTTTCATTCAGACTAATTTAAAAATGATCTCTGCGAAACTTGAGATCAATCCGATATCATTAACATTATGTCTGTGTCAGTGCTGGATCTATTTTTAAGAGGCCGGGTGGCCTCACAAAAAAATTGTGGTCTCCTAAAAAAAAGTTTTGCTTGCTTCGCTCGCAATTATTTTCATTTCGACGATTTTTTTTTAACGAATTGCCGTTTAACGCTTCGCATTAACGTTTATAATACAAAGGGATACAAGTAAAAAAATATAGCAAAATTAATACGTCCTCCGCTTCGTGATAGAATTACTAAAATAAGGCTAATTTGTATAGTAGTTTAGCAGTCGCTCTATGCCCTCCCTATATACACACGAGGTGTATAATGCACGTGTTACTTACATGTATATATTGTAATTAAAAAACTAAGATAAATTTACCAAATTAGTTTCGATTTTATATTCTTAAAGAGAACAAAACTTTCATGGTTTATTTTATATCAAATTAAGAAACTGTTCGACAAAGTTAGACATTGTTTTAAAAATTGTTGAATAAATCAAGAATATGTAGTTGAAATTAAAAAAACACATCATAGTAAAATTAATACCTTCGCATCGAAGCTAAAATATTATCGTGGTAAACTGTCGTTAACATATTTCATCGCTAATTTAATGCATATTAATAATTAGCAGTTCAAAAGATTTTGTGCGAATTTCTTCAACATTGTAATTAGTCCAATGTGGGCTACTCTCTTCTAATAAAGCATATCTAATACAAGACTTATTATCGTCTACGCAAATAAGACTCTAACATACATTATATCTATAGATGTTAATTATAGTTTATTCGATGACCATAAACAAAATAAGGAACATGCTAAAAATACCAGTTTCCAGCTAAATATTTTCATTACTCTTTCACAGATTACACAATTAAATTAAAACTGCTAAAAAAAAATTGCAAAGATATAAAATCTGATTAACTGTACTTGAATGACAATATGTAATATATTTCAAATTAAATATTTTTGATCTTAGTATAATCTATTATACTTTAAATCATTTTTAACCGCACAAAAATTGTTCTCAGCAAAATAAAAAAATTTTTTCAGATCACAACGTTCAACTGCGCCTTTGATTATAGCCTGCTTAGTTTAGGTTATCATAAAATGGCAATAATAATTATGATCAAGTAAGATCAAGAAAATACCCATAAGGTTTTTCAAAATCCCACACCAATACGTTTCGTTTTCCCTGTAGTAATATTGTTAGTCGTCAGCGCAGTTGTACCGTTGGGCGTTATCAGATAAAAAAGTTATTAGCGAAAATCATTCAACCGCGTTATGAACAATAAAGAAACTACCGCATAAAAATGTTTTTTTATTGGACGTTATCAACAAAAAACGCATTGCTGCATCAATAATTCAACTAAAAACGATTAATAGTTCATACCAGTTTACAGTTGTCGCTCAACTACGGCGTACGTCATACTCCACTCGTATAACGGAAATTGGTCTGACTAGTTAATATCCGACCGAGTCAACGATTAACTGATCACGTTCACATTAAGTTTAATTGCGTTTGTATTTGCCAATTAAATGCGAACAATTAACGGACGGACCGCGACAGCCGTGCGCGCCGCATGTGCAACGCGACTCGGTTTGAGGCGTTAGCCTTGTGCACGTCGTCTTGCATGTGAGCGGCGGCGGCCGATATGTACAGTCCGTCGGCCGATCGATAAGCGCCGTTGCCACGCGACCATCTTGGGTCGCACGCCCCTCGGGCTTCCCAACCGCCACTCCGTCGTCGCAGTATCCAGGCTCCGTAAAACAATGGTACTACACACGTATAACGTCTTCAACGACACGGCCGCTTACGTAAAACTGTCTGTGACGTTATGCATCAACCCTTTACATGTGTGTCAAGAACTCCTGTCGCGGGGCCGCGTTACACTGCTCTTCATCACATACTCGACCATTTGTGTTTAGTTTTATTCGCACCACCGGGTTAAGACAGTCAAAGCTGCAAGAATTAAAAAAAAGGTGTCCGACAGACATGCAACGTGTTGCACGTTTAACTGTTATCAAAAAAACAAAACCATATTTCACTAATTTCGTACTATTGAACATTTTTAATTGGTAAACACTGATTTCAAGACTCTAAGAGTGCTAATATTACAAAGTTGCTGACCTAAAATAAATTTCATTTTAAGTATTTTTTTATATATTTTTTGAGTATTCATAAAATTAAAAATATTTTTTAAGTATAGAATATTTTCTTTCATTGTGTTGCTCAACATTTTGACCGTTTTTTAATTCGCATTTTAGTGTAAAATGAAATTTATGAACTATAAACGCGAATGGTTGAATATTTAACAGTTTTTTTTTTTTGATAAACTATAGCTGTGAACAAATTAGTTCAAGTTGATACGATTTATGGTCAGTCAAACAAAGTGTCAGTCAAGCAACAAGTAGTAATAAAGAGTGTTTCACTTGTTACTCGATTTTGTTTCTATTATTATAGAATGGAATTAAATACGAACAGAATAAAATGTAAAAAAAGCACTAGAAAAGTGATTAAATAATCAATTTTTAACCGAAATAATTTTTTTAATATATAGATTGTGTAATGCTGGAATGCATCAACAAAAAACACCCATCGGGTCTGATAGTTAAAAATAACTTTCTTCCAGCGTACAATACATTCATCTTGTCATAGTCGCACAGCAGACAAAAATATTAAATATAGTACAGTTTTGTTGGCTTACCTTATAAATATATGTTACGAATATTTTACTTAATAGTAAATTGAGTACGAATTTTAAGTAAGTAAGAATTAGCAAAACACGTTTTCCAGAGTTTAAAATAATATAGAAGAATTTCTTTTCTTAAAAAAAAAAAAAAAAGCCAACTAAATCTAACATATTATTTTACAATAAATACCATTCATTAAATAAATACTATATGTTTTACTATCAATGCAAAAATGTTTATAATAAAATAGATAATACGACAACTGTTACTAGTTGAACTCTAAAAACCAGAAGTTTCATTTAGGGGAGACAATTGGCTTTGTACCGGTTTATGGATAGGCAAGTACATTGTATTGTCTAATTCTAGAATTATACCAAATAGTTAATAATATTGATAGTAAATTTATTAATGTTCTAGTAAAGGAGGTGTCATGTAATAAATTAATATAAGCGAACAAATAAATTTTTTTCCAGGTAAAGGTTGGACAATTTTTTTTATGATTTTCTTGCTCATAATCCCTTTAAAAGTACTACTTTTAGCAAAAAATCAGGTTGCAATATTTTGAAAAGGGTGGAAAATAATTGCGCCTCTATAGCTCATGGGTAGGGGGGTTGCTTCTATAGATTAAACTGTATATTAATAATTTTTGCACCCCTGTGATATTTTTCTGTGTACGTTATTGGTACCAAATTTAAAAATAAGTCTTAATGATATTTTAAGTTTTAAAGCAAATATCTAGATCAATTGAAATTATAATAATGACAACTGAAAATTTAATTAGCATTATAATTTCAAGTTAACGAAAACATTACACAACGATGTATATTTTATTTTATTTTTATTTTTAAATTATAAACGGGTAAAAAAAACCCTTTAACATAATGCGATAGAATAAATACAATAATTTCTTAGTTTAACATAAATTAAATGAAAAAATACAATTTTAACTAAATACTATCAGATTAATAATAAACAATTAGATATAAACAAATTACAATACACAATTAGATAATGCATTATAAATATTCAATTTGAAGACATCACGAGACATATAGAAAAAATCAACAATGTTTAGAATTTTATTAGCTAACAATAGGACTCGAGGAAAATATGATGCTGAGCTATAATTAGTGGTACAGAAAGGAACATGAAACAGTTTAATAACTCTAAGGTTTATTTGACTAGTTCTAAAGCCAACCATTGAAAGTAACTCTGGGCAATCTACATAACCATTTAGTAAGTCATATAAAAACATAAGATCACTAACTCTTCTTCTAAGTTCACAAGATGAAATACCTAACTGAGTAGAATGTAAATAATATGAATCCCTAGAAAGACTAATATTCAATTTAAAACAGATAGATTTCGTATACTTGTATTGGACGTTTTCTAATAAATTAATGTAAACAGCATAATTAGGGGACCAAACTAAAGAACCAAACTCAAGCTTTGATCTGACAAGAGAAAAATTTAACAATTTTAAAGTATATAAATTTTAAATCGCGCAAAACAGCGATTTGTAGGCCATTTTAGTTATTTTGTGTTAGTTTCATTTTTAATTTAATTTGAATAAACGATAGCCAATTATTAGCTAAAAATTTAGCAGTTATAACAAAATTTATAAGTCGACTAATTCTTTACATGAAACAATATGAACATATTTGCGTATCATTCATTTTTGTCGAACCTAAAGCAAAACACATGTAGTGGGTAACGTTGTACGTTTCTCAAAACCACCACGTTTGGTTTTAACAAGATCATTTTTAATTTATGTTTCTATTGATATATTATAACTATTTTATAAAAAAAAATAATAAAAGCCAAATTTTCAAGAAGAAAAGTCAAATTTATGCTATTTTTCTAATTGACTTGAAATTCGGTTGGACAATCATTTATTAAAATGCAAAACTGAATATTTTACTAATTTTTTTAACGGGTAAATTCAAAATCTTATATTTATAGCTTTAAAATCGAAAAAAAAAATTTCTAATATAACAATTTAAAAAAAAATCTAAATATCCAACAGTTAGAAACTTTAAAAATACATTAATTTACAAAATTTATAATTGATTTTTAACAATCAAGAAAGTAAAAACACATCATTGTTTTGTTATTTAATGAGACCTTAAAGCATTTTAGTAACAGAAATAAGATTTTATATTAAAGAATTAATATTAAATTTATTCTAATGAGCCGTTTAGCTTATCACATTAGAGGTTGTTATAGAGTAAAATACTCAGTTTTTCAATAAACAAAGCTAAAAATGTTTAAATTTTATTATTGTATATTCGTATTTTGATAAAAAAAAATTTATATTAAACGTATTAAATTACTCGTTGTTAATTAATGTTATTGAAAGAGATAATTGCCCTGAAAATTTCGTTTATAGTTCTTACACTAAGAATTAGTTGTTTTTCTATGATTCATAATCGGATGCAATTAAAAAGAAGAGAAGTAAAAGCAACAAATTTTATCGGATATGGAAAAAACTATGACACTGATTTATTCCCATATGTTGTAATGATACTAATTAAGCCTAAAGGATCAGAAGAACCTTGGTCTTGTACTGGTTCCTTGTTGAAACCTACGTTCGTATTAACAGCAGCACATTGCTCAAATAAAGTGACTGCTGAATGTTTATCCGTTTGTTTGATAACAAAACCCGTTCTCTCATAATATAATATTAATTGTGATGTTTATTTTTTGTAGATTACTGTTGGTTATTACTATGGAAAAGAGAGTAAAAAAGTAACAAAAATTCATCAGCATACTGGTTACAGAGCAGGTGAGGACCCTAAAGACGACATTTGCGTATTAGAGGTATTTTTAAATATTATATTGATTCCTTACATAGTAAAACAATAGTTTTTTATATCCTGAACTTTAATTAAATTAGTTTAAAAAAAAAAATTACTTGAAACTTGTTTTGAGACATTTGACGATGCATAATACATGACTAAATTTTGATGTCAGAGAGAAAGAAAGAATGAAAATGGCGCGCATACATTTGTATTAATTAAAACATTTCAGGGCTGACCAATTTCATATTGTACAAGAGCTGTCAAATAGTTCAGCGTAGGCTTGATTGCCACATCCGAAGATTTACAAAGTTAAAAATTCAATTTTCAATTAAATATCAACTATGCTGCGTAGTATTAAAAATATCCATTATTATACAATTTCAATACTCATTGTATTTAATGATAACTCAACACATTTCTTCTAAGATAATAATTTTTTTAACACTTTAAATTATTTCAACAATTATTATTACTATTATTGTAACAATCAACAATAATTAGTAACAATTATACCCCACTTACAATTATTTTATGTAGAGGAGAGTCGCCTATAGACTATCTAAATTTAGGATGGGATTACGATGTATTATTGATATGAAGCTAATTTTGTCGAAATCATAGTTTTGACTTTATAGATACTTATATTATCCAATAAGATCTATTAAAGACACGGGTAGTCTAAATTAGACAAAGGGTTGCCTTACATGAACAACTTCGGACATTTTTTCAATTAAAAAAAATAGCATTATTTTATAGAACTGAATGAAAATGCATTATGCTAAATTGTAGCTCACGTATGGTAACGTTTTTGAGCTGTTTTACAATTATAACATGCATTTGTTTTCTAGGAAAACCCTGAAAGTTCAAGATGGTCTACATTAGGTGTCTCTCCCCTAATTATATTTATCAAAATTTTACGATTTTATAAAATATTCACGATAAAATATACTCTCTGATGAAAAACTAGAAAGATTAGACTTGAATATAGTTACGAAGTTGGTACAAATATTTCTAGCTTGAATCGCCTTTTAGCAATGTTGATACATTTGTAGAAATAGGAGGGAATCCCGAGGAATTTAAAAATGGAGCTACTGTTAAATGTACAGCTATTGGCTTTGGATCAACGGAAAATGATGGAGAAGAAGATGAACATGGCAGACAAATTGATACACAAGTTAAACACGGACCAACTGCATGTAAATACAAAGGTAAAAGTATTTATGACAATACACACAGCAGCTGAATGTACCCAAAAATAATATAGTAGTTAAGTATGAAAATAACATTGATGATTCTATAACTAAGTCTTCTACAGTTTATTATATCTATAGTATTTTTTTAATGAAAACCCTTCAAAGTTCATTACTTAAAATACCAATTTTCAAAAATAATTTATATGCTTAAATAACTTTGAATTTTGGTTTCCGTTTTAACACTTAGAAAACGATGTATTTTAGAGTCAGGATGGGAATTCTTATTATGTGGAGTAATGGACAAAAAACAAACATGTTTGGGTGATAGTGGTGGGCCATTAATCTGTAATAGAAAAATATATGGTATAGCAAAAGATGGCTACAATACTGTGGACACACAAAATCCGATGAAATGTGGTGATCCACAAGTTCAGTTTAGGCACACGTTTTTATACAAATATAAGGATTGGGTTTTTAATATTATTGATCCGAATGGCAGTATAGGAGACAGTAAGAATGAAGAAGAAGATAGTGATGGTGATAGTGAGAATGAGGATGGTGCAGGCGACGATGGAGGAGACGGTGGAGATGACAACGATGGAGGAGACGGTGGAGATGACAACGATGGAGGAGACGGTGACGATGACAGTGATGGAGAAGACGATAAAAAAGATAATTATATAGGGGACAACAATGAAGGAGAAGAATTAGACGAAGAAGAAAATAATGACAATTATTCTGGATCTTCCACAGTAAACAGACGTTATTTCATTTTCAAACTATTAATGTCTGCAATTGTATACATTAAAAATTTATGAAAACTAATTTAACTAAAAATTAATTTTAAAACTAAAAAAATACCCTAAAATGAACTCGAAAGTTTGTAATAATTTATATTAAAAGTATAACTATTATTTTTTCGCTTTAAATGTTATCAAACCTAATAAAACTAAATAAAAATATGATACATAAATTATGTGAATTCTGATTTGAGTAATAATATTCGAGGCGCTAATAATAGGGTTTTATTATTTTCAGAATATTTAAATAAAGTTAATAGATGAACAGATAAATTTGATGTTTTAAATTTCTATTATAAATTAGAATACTTTGAAGATCAACACAACAAATTTGTATGAGGCGAAGGAGTTAGAATTTTTAGAAGTGTCTTATTTAAATTTTAAACACAATAATTACATTACACTATTAAGCTAAAATCTAAAACAGGAATACATCCAATAAACACAAAGTTTTTTTTTTTTAATATAAATTTTTAAATATTTAACAATTTTTAGTGTAAAAACAGAACTTTAATTGGAAGATTTTGTCTTTTATTGTACCAATTGTTTTTTTTTTTACAAATTTGAATAAAAAATATAAATATTATTTTGCAAAACCTAGGAAAAATTCGCTGATCATTTCTTTAACTCTAGGTTCTCTAATGGATCCTCATTACAATTTTATAAATCTTATTAAATGAAATAAATTGAAAAACGGACAAAAAGTCGTCTAGAAAATTAATTCCTAAAATTATAATGTTTAAATTCTACTAAAAATTTATTTTTGAAATAATAAATTATCCAATTAATTACAGTTATACATATTCAGAAATGGTTATTCTGCATGGTCATTAATTCAACAAAAACGTACTTTACTATTTTCTATTATTGTATAAAATACATTAATTATGTAATAATATTTATAAAAATACATAGCTAATAAATAATATGATAATGTACACAAAGTAGTAGACATAAAAATTATAACATTTAAAAAAATTCTAATATTTATCTAAAAGGCTAAACGTGTAATTATGACTAAAACGAATAATTCATTTATTAAACCATTATCTATAATATGGCATACTGTGCAAACGGTTTTTTAAACACTTGCAGCTGTATTGATCTAAAACATATTATTTTTACACCTAATATAGTTTGTTTTGAGCTCATTTACAACAGATGACAAAGGAATATAATTTACATACAATTATTGTTTTAATATACACTTAAAATACATTGAGATGGAAGAAATGTTTGTCATACATAGGCGTCCTAACCGGAGGGTATAAAGTCTGAAGCGCCCGTGCTCAGTTTATCGACTCTAATTGCATCGATATGTCAATACGGCTAGAGTTCTTTATGTTTTTACGACCCTACACGCGTATATTTTTCCATTTAATTTTTATGTAAGGTTACGTGTGATGTTTTTTATTAGAGAGGCACGAGACCGTTTCGAGTGGTTGGATTTCTTGTTGTGTAAATGTCCATATCGTGATCGGTCCAATTATCTGACGTGTCTCCGCCACAATAGTTGTTGCCGTTGAGCGCGTGTTGAGAACCGCTATGACTGTACCGACTGGGCGGCCTGTTATGTATGCTACCACCATCTCGATTCCTTGATGCCCGTCTGGGTTTGGTTCGAGATGTATTCGTGCGACCACTACCCGGGTAACTGATGTGAGACATCCTCTCGGAGACGGCTAATGATTGTCGAGACTGCCTAAGTTCTGTTAAAAATTATACATAACATTTTTTACATTAAGATGCTAACAATATTCGAAAATATAATAACTTAGCAATGCTATGAATATCTGATTCAAGGAATTTGCAAAGGTTTGAAAATGCTACCATCAAGTAATAAATAAAAATTGAGTCAAAATATCTTTAACTTGTTACTTACCCGGTCTGGAGTTGACAAGTTCAGATGTATACGCGTTGCCTAAATAGCGCATTGAGTTATTTGAAAAGCTATTCTGTGACTGACCATCAGCAGTTGAGCGCAGTTTTGGCGGTTTTGAGCTGAAATTGGATATGTTTGAGTGCAAGTCTTCGTTGCACCCTAAAATAATTTAATAGAAAATGAATTTTTATTCTTATAAACTTCTTATCCTTTTTTTTTAACAATTAAGTTTATTGAATTCTATACTTACCAGGTCTACTGTCAGGAACACGATACATTCTGGGATGGTTCAAGCTACGATTACTGTAGACCGAACCTTGATCCCAATCTTTGTGACTGGCGTATGCATTCAACGCAGCAAGCGAAGACAAGGGAGTTGGACCGCTGGTCGAATAACAGTTCGATGGCAACGTTCCTACAGGAATACCACCATTGACAATACCTCCTGCCTTGCTAGGATGACAAGTAGACATGGAATTGTGTAAGTTCTGTAGTTTTTTAGCTCGACGCTTGCTGGCCGCAATAAATATTACGACAGCAATCAACACGGTTCCGCAAATAGCTGCACTAGCTGCTATTGTGATTCGATCCATGTTGCTGGTTACAGTAGTTGCTGTCCGAATTTCTCTGCACTGACTGTAGGGTACCGTGTCAGGAGTGATGTTGATTTCTTCTAATGATATAACGCATACAATAATGCATTCCTAAAAATAAAATAAAAATATAAGTGGTATAAACAAAAAAAAACTTGTATTAACATTATGTACAGTTTATATTTCTTTTACGTGACAATAATGATTGTTTTAAAATTTGACTAATTATTCGTAAATACTTTATTTACCTGATGAGGTACATTTTTTATTTTAAATTCTCGTTCGCTGGTCTCTAAAGGAGGACCCTGTTTGAATATACGATCTCCGAATAAACGATATACAACTCGGAAACCCAAAATATTTGCTGTTTCAGAATCCCATTGAATTATAACGGAATTGTCTTGTCTGTGAACGCTTCTAATAATAACCTCTTGAGCTAGTGTCTGTTTTTTAGAGTAGTTACCCAGTATCAATGGTGATTTCGTAGAAGTCTGTGTGGTCTGTGGTCTAGTAATAACCACATTATTAGTTTTACGACTACCGTTTATGGGTTTTACCTAAGAACGAACAAAAATTAATAATTAGTTAATTTTCCGTGATCATCACTGTAAAACGTCTAAACTTACATTTGCCGGGTTTTGTCCGGAATATTTGGTCACTGTTTCAGCAATTCCAGGGACAACTGTTGATGAACTCTCAGTAATCATTGAAGACACAATTTTACTTGAATCGTCGACGTGTGACGACGAAAAATCTGTTGAATTAAAAGTTTTTGTTAAATCTTGATTTGGGTTATCTTTCTTCGGCTTGTTTCTAGATAACGGAACTTCAGTGGAAACACTAGTTGGAACAACGTATCCAATACCAACTCCCAGCGAACTTTTAGAATCTGAGTTTTCGTCCTCTAAACTGGCTTCTACTACTGAAGGTATACCAGACGAACCTTTTTCATTATCTTCACACACCATTTCTGCAAAACAAATAATTAATAACGATTACTATAATACGTATGATCTTTAAAATTGTATGAGTTATAAAAATATTTAACATGTATTAACAAATTTTCTGATAAATCGAATTCGCAAAAAACGATTTGTCAATTTTTATTAAAAATAATTATTTAAAATTAACAAATGAATAATTGCATCAAAGTTAACATACCGGACACATCAATTTTATAAAAATGTTTGTTTTTTAAATATGATGGACTGGCGCAAAACTGAGGATTTCGTTCTCTACTTGTGACTTGCAAATCTCCATTTTTTATCCATTCAACAACCCATTTAACGCGACAGTCGCACTGTAAGTATCGACCTCCAAGACTAAGCCCACGTAATGTAGAATTTAGATGTATGAACGCTTTTTCGGGGATAGTTTCCAAAGGATTGCCATCCAAGGCCAATAGAGTCAGAGAGGGATTTGCTAAGAACGCATTATCTGATATTTCAGTAATTAAATTGAAACCGACATCCAAAACTCTTAGTTCAGGTAATTTACTGATAGCTTCGGTAGGATATTCAGTCAATAAATTGTTGAGCAAACTGAGTGAACTTAAAGAATTTTTAACGCCGTCAAACGTGGATTCGCCTAAGGATTGAATTACATTTCTTTCTAAATTGAGAGCAGTCAGTGCGCTGAGTCCCTGGAAAATATACTGTCCGGATGGGCCGGGAAGTTCACTTAAAATATTTTGAGCTAAATCTAAAAATGCCAAATTTTTCAAATTTCTTATGCACTCAGGCAAAACTTTTTGGTTGGTGCTCTTCAAGTTCAAGTTTTTCAAACTGTTTTCAAGACCACGAAAAGAGTGTTTGGATAATGTTATGTTGTTGTCAGACAACTTTATAGTTTGCAAATTTTTGAGCGTTGCAAACGCATCGTCTGGTACTTTTGATATTTTATTTCGAGACAAGTCTAAAAGTGTTAAATTTCTAAGCGACTCTATACTGGCTATGGGTATCTCGTTGAGTCGATTGTCTTGCAAACTCAAATGCCGCAAATTTGCCTCCAACCCTTTGAACGCAGTTTTCGATATGCTGTGTATTTGGCAACCAGACAGCTGCAGGTTGTGAATTCTGAGGTTTGCGAAACTAGAGTCTTCAACATTTCTAATTAAACTATTATTAATGTATAGCAGATCGATGGTGTTCTGAGAATATTTGTCGAGAACTCGCAACAGGTTCTCGTAATCTACTAAGTCACATTGTATCGAAAGTTCTTGGGCCACATTTGTAGAGCACATGCACGAAGACTGTAGTCCCGCGGCTGATTGATCTGCCTGCCACGGACATTGGGCTTTAGACGTTGATATTTTATACTGGCATATCAAAATGAGCAGTAGCCATGAAAAATGTCTGAAATACAAATAAAATAATTTATGAATCAAATTAAATTAATTATCACAAAAACTAAACGCAAATTGACATTATTATCTACCTATTAAACTAACAAACGTTTATGTTTATTGTTTCGCTCTGATTTTCAAGCACGTGCATTCCTATACTACATAGCATATCTAAATTATAAGTCATATTGTTTATTTATGACAGCTAAATCCGTCATGCGTCATGATCTCTTTCTGATATACTTAACAGAAGTAAATAACTCTAAGGATTTTCAAATGACATAAAATATGCAATATAAAATGTCGACTAATTGGAATTTTTTTTTTTTTATGTTGTTCTTTTGAACAACAAACTTAATGATTAAATTTTATTATTAATTACTTTTTCATAGGTTTTTTTTTCAATATATTACTTATCTGACTAAAATGTTGGAAATAATTAAAATAAACTAGTGGTCAAATTTTGGTAATAGGTAATTTTTTTAGCATCGATGCGAAGCTGAGAAGGTATTGGTTTTACTATGATGTGTTTTTTTTTTTTTTTTTTTTGTTACCACTTTTTTCTCAGCTCTCCCCGAACAGATTTCTTTCAACGATACGTCAAAAGATCACAAATTGTATCTAGTCGAAGACATTACCCTTCAAAATTGAAAAAATTTCCCTCGTTCCCCGTAAATGGGGGAAACCTCCAAAAAAATTACATATTTAAAAATCGCTAATTTTCGAAATTTTTTCAATTTTTTTTACTAAAAACTGCCGTAACTTTTTCAAAAATGAACATATCAATATAATTTTTTTTTATATAGATGCTTGATGTCTTTACCTATCATTTGGTATATTTTTTTTGTAAATCTGACACTTAACCTGCCCACAGGGGGGGATTTAAAATGACAACTTTTTCACAAAAAATTAACTTTTTCAACTTAACTTTTGAAAATGTTCCGGAAGGTCTGACACTTTTATATATATCTTAAATTAAAGCTAATGTAATATACTTTAATTTGAAAAAAAAAAATTTGACCTCTGGACTTGTCTTCACGGCGAAAATGGCTACCGAATGCTATTTTCGTGTGAAAATTCTCGATTTTATTATTTATATAATATTTAACTTTATAATGCTATAACTTATTGAAAAGTTTATGGATCCACACAATTTTTTTATGAGAAATAATATTTTTTAATAAACCCTTTTTCATTTGACATACTTTATCTTTATCGAGATATTAATAAGGAACCAGCAGATCAAGTAGCTTTTGGAATAAAACACCAATTTTTTTTAAATTAAGCACTATCTAAAGATTTGCATCGAAGCGTTTATTTTTGATAGTGATTTTAATTACTGTCAGATATCATTATACTTGATCCAACTATACCACGTCACAACTGTGCCGCGACCCCCCTGTGCTGGGTTTTTTTTTTATTTTAATAATAAGAGACAAAAAATAATACGCATGCAGAAAGTGACTTATACCGATGGTTTTTCAATTATTATATCATTAGTAATAATAATAGTATCATTGTGGTGGAAATGTAAATACATATAACGCTTCCTTAATATTTTTTTACAGTTCATTTCTAAATTTTTATCATATCGTTTTACATCGATTAGTAAAACATGAGTGATAAAACTTTATTATTATCGCAAAACAAATAAGAAGAACCTAAATAAACCTTCATAAGAACCTATTATCACATAGAAACAAAATATGCATTTTTATTACAACTTACTTAATAAATAAACAAATTATAAATATCCTCAAGTCACAACGTGTTTTTTTATAACCTTGATATTAAATATCTAATCGGTAGGATCCTTAACTCAAATATTAAAAAAATTAGGACACAGACAAATGAAAATAGGCTGACGAGTATTGAATGTAAAAATTATTGTTTTAATCTAAAATGGAATGCTACATCAAGTCTGTACAAGAATAAGATATTAGGCTACAAACTAACCGTTAGTTTTATCATTAGCTTTAATCAGATAGAAATTAATAGTATTCTTCCACCAGGACATGTCTTGCAATTTATCATAATGTTCAATCTGTCGAAATTAACTAGGGTTTTCACTGAGTTTGGGCCAAATGAATAATTGTCAAGAACTGATAACACTATATTATACATTATACCAGCATTCGGCATTGATGATGAAAAATATGAATCTACATTCTAGACATTTACCATACTTATATTAGCATTAATCAAATTAAAGTTTATTTTTCACTAGAGGAACATTAACTTGAACATCGGAATATTAGACGCGCGACTAATTTTGACATATTTATTAGGCGACTTAGGACTAATCGTTCTAAAAATATTTTTTGATTAAGATTTTTATCTGTATTATAATATAATCAATGTATATTTATTATAAAATTAATCATAAGCCTAGAGTTTGCTAAGAATTATATCAACAAGAACTCATAAATAAAAATGCAACTTCTGTGATGTATTATAATTTTATGTATAGTATGATCAAGCAGAGCAATGTTTTTATATTAGACTAGATCAAAATAATTAACTTGATAATGTCTTTTCTTTACTTTCTAATTTGTTTTCGTGACATTATTTTTATTATCCCGGAATCCTACATGAAGATTTAAAAATAAATAAAAATGAAGCCTTCCGCTTTCTTTTTTGTATTTTAATTAAAATATTTGGAATCGAATTTGTATTTCGTAATATTAAAATATGAAAAAATAATAATTTAAATATAAAAATAGCAGACACAACTATCATGGAAAATTCCATTTTTTACCTAATAATAAATTAATATTTAATACCTAGTAACATTTATGTTATTAATTTAATACAAGCAACTTTTACTGTCTTGAGTTTTTAAATTGAAAAAATAAAAAAATAACTTTATAAGTTATACAAATTATTGAATGTAGTTAAATTGAGAACTAAAAGCAAAACTATTTTATCTGAAAATCAATCGTTTTTCAATTATAAAATATATTTTCATAAAATAATAAAATATTTTAATTCATGATATACATCATATCTTTATGATTTATCATTATTAACATAAATTATAATTTATTTTATTGTATTGATATGATTGTTGAACTACCGTAATCGTTCTCATTACTTTTAAAAATATTCACTCTACTTTGTGATTTAGACAAATATTCACATAAAACATATCTAAATATACAACTTAACCAAAATCCCAATCCCGTTAAAAAACACGTTAAAATTACGATTAATGCAAAAGTCTTTAAGAAATTGTCCGTTTTGTGCAAAGTATCGTTTTCATTCCAATTTATACAATTGAAATTTCCACATAAATCATCATTTTCAGACCGTTTCTCCTGAGAATACCATGAAAATATAGCGTTATCATACATTTTTGATATAGATTCTATGAATAGCAGAATTTTTATAATAACATATTTACTGGGCTGATATTGTGAGGTGCGTTACTGAAATTTATATAATCAGAAACTTTTTGCTTCCCTGAATTGGGTAAAGAAAATGAAACTACGTGAGCAATGGTTATTCCGAAAAATATTAACAAAAATATTCCGTTATTTACTGTGAAATATATCTTATTTGAACACATTAAAAAAAAAAATGTTTATAAGTACTACAATGCTCTTGTCGATTAGCAATTATTATTGCTGAGAATTTATTATATCTCTTAGTAACACATCATCTAATTTATATAAACTCTATCGAACATATTATTTTTATTATTAAATACTAAAATTGCGTCAAGTATTCATCACTTTTTGAAAATATTCAGTATTTCAATTACTCTATCATTGTAAAAGGAGATGAATTTAATAGAAGTTTAAAAAAATATCAGCGAATGCCATATAAATTCAAATGATTTTTAATTCATATAAATGATAATAGAAAAATGGCTTATTGAGGGCAAAAACTTTGTTTGACTTATCTTTTTTTATAAATTTTATTTATTAAAGAAACCATGATAGCCCAATAATTTATTAAGTACATAAATCCTAAAACAATTTTATATTAGATATTGAGATTAGGTCAATCCCTTTCGGAACGATTAAAACATACGGTTAATGAACACCATCTAAAGAGAAATGCGTCACAATAGCCGAATTTCGGGTCATCCGGTTTGCTGATTTTTGGCGTCTCTGTTGGTCATAATCCGCAAGAGGTACTCGACCAACAATTAAAAACTGTGTATTACAATATAACAGTATTATAGCAATAAACTTGACCCATCGCTGTTGTTCAGTTCAAGTACACATGCATAATACATATTACCATGGTCTGTTTTTAGACGTATGCACATTGTTTATTACCGCGGGTCACGTTGACCGCGAAGAAGACTCACTTAATTTTTTATCATCAGTGACCACGACCAGAACATCCGTTATACTCATACATATAATTCTATAATATAACGAACCGATTAAACAACGTCCTATCCTAATATGAATTTAAGATCAACGTGACCTAAGTGTTTAATAGAAATGCGCGTCTATTTTATTACACCTTTGAAACTCAGTTTTAAATATCAATGGTAAGATTTCATGTGAGACGAATCGAAGCCTTGGCTTCTTAAGTTCAAGGATAAAAATGCCGTTATAATTAATTTGAGACGATTAAACTCATAATATCAATACAATACACATGTAATTTTATAACAAAAATTATTTCTTTTTATTTTATTTTACTTTTTGTCTATAGAACGATTTTTTTTAAATTACTCGATTTATAAATTATTAAATATTTTTTTAATTCATCTTTAAGGGTGTTAACTTTGTTATTTTTAATGGCAACATTAAATCATTCTTTTATTTAGTACCTAGATAGTTATGAACGTTTTTAAATATAGAGTAGAAGAAAAGCGCGGCAGAGTAATATGTAATAATAAAAATAACATTTACTTCCATTTTATATTGTAAAATAGATATAACGTCCAAAATAACCAGTCAAAAGTTTTTTTAATTAAATCATTTTTTATTTCATAAGCTTGTTAAATATGTATGTTGAAATTAAAAAAAAAAGAAGTCGTTGCCCTTA